CAAAAAATTGAAGAAGAAGATAAACAAAGAGACAAGAGGATTGGAGATATTGATAATAAATTAACGGTGGTTGAACAAGATAAAAGTGGTATGTTGAGATGGGAGATCAGAATTCTATCTTAGATTCCAAAATGTAGAGGAAGAAAAAGGACAAAACTTAGCTGAGATAATGATAGGAATACTGGCTGAAGCTTTGGAAATAACTCAAGAGAAGATGATGGATGGAATAGATGAGGTTTATCGAGTTTTCACAAGATATGCGATGAGAAATAGCTTACCAAGAGAAGTTCACATTAGATTTACAAAGAAAGCCATTAAAATGCAAATATTGCAAGTGGCAAAAGAGAAAACATTTGAAATATAAAGACAAGGAGATTGTGGTCTTGAAACAAATACCCAGAAGAGTGAGAGAGATGAGAAGAGAATACCAATTCCTGACTAAAGTGCTACTTAAAAAAGAGGTGAATTATAGATGGCTGATTCCAGAAGGTTTAATGTCCACATGGCAAGAACAGAGACATAGAATTGACTCAATTGAGAAAGCGGAATTATTTTGTACAGAATTATTTGGAAGGAAAGAGGAAGAGGCAGAAAAAGAGATCTCATTAATTGAATTCCAAGAGGACTGCCAAATGGCGACTGAAAAAGAAGAAGGTGCAGTAGGTGGAAAGGTGGAAGCCAAAGAACAACATGAACTAAGATCTATGAGAGCTGCTAAACTTAACTACAAAATATAACCATGGAAGAGAAAAAATTGATTACCATTAATATAAATGGACTTAACTCAAAGAAGGAAAACCTTTCATAAATTAGAGAAATTAAAATTTGATATAATTTGTCTACAAGAAGTACATATTAAAAAACAATATGAACAATTGTTGATACAGCCAAAATTAGGGAAAATATTTACTTCCTTTACACAATGTAAAAAAAAGAGGAGTGGTTTTATATATTAAAGAGACCACCCCAGCAAAATTGATTTATACTGATGACGACAGAAGAATATTAATGGTGGAAATAATGGACTATAATACGAAAACACTCCTGATTGCAATCTGTGCTCCGAATGACAAACAAGAAGAATTCTACAAAAAATTACATATGAAAATAATTGAACTGGACTATGCTAATATAATTATGATGGGAGATTTTAATGGAATTGTAGACAATAAATTGGACTATACAGCACAGAAAACAATAAAGCAAAATAGAAAGACTCTCCCTAAATCTTTTTTTAAAATGGTAGATGAAATAAACTTAAAAGATACATGGAGAGAAAGAAATGCTAAAACTAAACAATACACCTTCTATTCAAATAGACACTTATCATGGTCCAGAATAGATATGATATGGATGTCAACAGAATTAATAACTCATATTCAAGAAATAAATATTGAAACAAGTACTTGGGCAGATCACAATCCAATGACAATTAAATGGAAAGGACAAAAAAGATCTAGATGGACGTTAAATAATACTATTTTAAAGGAAAAAGACTTCACACAGTGGATGGAGAAAGAATTGGCTTTTTTCTTTAGAGAAAACAAAAAAGAAGATACATCAATTCAGAATGTATGGGATACAATGAAGGCATATGTTAGAGGCTTGATAATACGCTATACAAGGAAAAGAAATAATATGAAAAGATTAGCCTCTAAGGCCTTAGAGGATGAGTATAAAAGATTTGAAAAAGGGCTACAGAATATGCCACAGAAAAAGGACATCAAGCTAAAAATGGATATAATTAAACTTAAATGGGTCAAATAGAAAAAGAAGAATTAGCATAGAAAATTAGAGGTGCTAAATAGAACTATTTTGAAGACACAAATAAACTAGGTAGATGGTTAGCATACAAATTGAGAAAGGAGAAAAAATCAAGGAAAATATTGCAATTAATAGATGACCAAGGCCAAGTTTGCTATGGTAGTAAAGAGAAGAAGGAAATCATTCGAGACTTCTATGGGAAATTATATATGCAAGAGAATATTGATGAGGAAAGAATTAAACAGTACTTACAGAATGCTAATTTACCTCAGATACCTAAAGAGACTGAAACAACGTTAAAGAGCAATATAATGATGATGGAGTTAACTGAAGCACTCAAGAAGTAAAATAATGGAAAGGCATCAGGCCCAGATGGACTTCCGGCAGAATTTAAAAAAACATTACAAGAATCGTTGAATCTTCCATTGCTAGAAGTTATGAATGAAGTTATGTTAAAGAAGAGGATACCTAAATCATGGTCAGAAGCCTATATTACACTTATTCCAAAAGAGGAGGCCGATCCATTACAAATTAAGAACTATAGACCCATTTCTCTACTAAATGCAGATTATAAAAGCTTCAATATTGGCAGAAAGACTTAAAAATATTTAAATAATTTTATTAATCCTGATCAAAATGGATTTCTGCCAAAGAGACAAATTAAAGACAATATGGGAGTAATCTTGGACACCTTGGAATACTACGAGGCACATCCTGAAAAACAAATGGCTCTGATATTTCTCAATGCACAGAAGGCATTTTGATAATGTGAATTGGCGATTCATGTTATTACTGTTGGAACAGATGGGTTTTGCTAGAAAATTTATTCAAACAATAGAAGCTATATATCATAAGCAAACGGCAAAGGTAATGATAGAGGGAGAGCTGACAGACTCTATCAATATAAGAAAAGGAACAAGACAAAGGTGCTCACTATCACCTTTGTTGTTTGTGTTAACTTTGGAAGTGCTAAACAGAAATATTAGAGATGAAAAAAATATAAAAGGAATGAAAATCAAAAAGGAAGAATTTAAGCTGCAAGCATTTGCGGATGATCTGGTTTTCATCTTAGAAGACCCTCTAGAAACAGCATCAAAATTCATAGAAAAGATAGAGACATATGGAAAGGTGGCTGGTTTGAAAATAAATAAAGATAAGACAAGGTATTTCTTTTTTTTTTTAACCTTCCGACAATCAGCTGTTCCTACCAACAGCTGTGCCAGGATTCCCCTCGATTCTTATTGCTTCACCTTGGAGGCTTCCCTGAGGCCCAGGAAGGTAAAAAATGGAGGGAGGGGACACCGCCCCCCTCCATTTTTTGCCTTCCTGGGCCCCAGGGGAGCCTTCTGGAGCAAAAACGCCCCACCCAGAGGCACCTCTGAGGCCAGGAAGGCCCCAAAACGGAGCGTGGAGGGGTCCTGTGTGCCCCTCCTATGCTCTGTTTTTTTCTTCCTGAGCCCCAGGGGAGCCTTCTGGGAACAAAAATGCCACCCCCAGAGGCTCCTCTGAGGCCAGGAAGGCCCCCCAAATGGGGTGGGGGTGAGGGGAGGTGGGGGGGGTGCTGCAAAAAAAGTCATGCCCACCCAATCACATGGCCATGCCCACCTAGCCAAGCCCACAGAACCGGTAGTAAAAAATTTTGAATCCCACCACTGCCTTGATCTATACATTAAACGTATGGCCCAGTGGGAGGCCGCTATTAAAACAACATACCTCATATGTGGCCAGAATTTGAAAACAACATTTAATACAGCAGAGTTTATGACTAAAATGGTCTGACTGAGATCAGCATATTTTACCCTATTCGTATTTTAAATTGTTTCTTTTGGACTTTATTGGTAATACGTGTTTGAACTTTGTATTTTGATATGGCCTAGAGACTAATCAATAAAGCTTTATGATCTAATTTGGGAAGTGTTAATTATAAGTAAAATCACAACCATGTCAATATGACCAAGATTTAGACTTGCATTTTTTAACTTATGTGGACTCAGGTGAATAATTTTTCAAAAAGTCAGTGAGGCTTATAATATGTTATAGCATACATTTGCTGTATTCCAAACAATTCCCAATTGTTTAATTTTGTATTTAGAATTTTTATTTTGTAACTATACTGTAGTAGATGCAGAACTGAACCTTAGGATGAAAAGTTGGTGGTTTCAACTTGTCTCTTCAAGAAACCCTCAAACCTATAGCTTAACTCTATTCCTGGTCTTGGTGTGTGCAGCCTGTGAATTATTGCTGTCATTAATTATCGTCTAGGAAACACCTTACTCGCTGTCCTCCCCCTAACCTGAATGTGTAGGTGTGTCTGTGAGAGGCTTCTATACCCCGTTTTCTGGCAAATAAGAAAAAAAGGTCTGTGGGGGGGGGGGGAATCAAATACATTATATAGTGCCACCTCCTGGTTGGATATTGGCAAGGCATGTGACTAGCAGAATCATTTCCCTTCCCTTGAGAGATAAACAAGATTACAGTATTAAGAAGGAAAGAGACTCTTTTTAGCTTTCAGATATACAAGCAAGACTCTGAATGGCAAAAAGGGAAATAATATAGAGAGAGACATGCAAATTACAGATCCTGAAAAGTACAAGTTTATTAAAACTTTCTGCATTGCCCTTTAAGCCAGTTAGGCCCCAATGGTGGTGATCTATACTTTAAACATTTAAAACAATTTCCATCATATAAGTAAGAGGAGAAATAGTCCTTTAAATAACAAAGGGAATATTATTGAAGATGAAGGGTGGAATGATGTGAAAGTTGTGTTTTAATATTTCTTCTTATTAGCAAGCAAGCATCTTACAAACAGTTTTAGATAGGATGCATTTTTATGGGTAAGCTATTAATCTTTTGAACTACATTCAGTTTTGCACATTTTTACTGCATAGTTTTTAAAACATACATTTATTTCTACTTTTGTTCTCTGTAACTTGAAGATAATTATAGTGGCAATAACCCTGTTGGGAATTGTAAACACTCTAATCAGGAACTGTTATGCCACTTTGAAGCTCAATGTGACATCTACCTAACACAAGATTGGTGGTGATTACTCACTCAAAAGTGTTATTGGAAGTAATTATCCCAGAGGGCAGTGTCCTGCTTTCAGAAAGTACTGTCAAATTCCTATCAGTCATTCTCACAAACATTTGAAGCATCAAACAGAAACAGAGTCCCTTAGTGTAGGCTGATTGTTTTAGGAATATGTGGATTAAGATGGCATTTATTTCTGTTTTCAGGCAAAGTGGGTTTCCTATGAGCTGTGAGAAGGCTTCTGGGCTGTTTTGAACGTGTGTATTGATCAAGTGGAAGGAATGGCCCAGGTTCTGCATATGGGGACTGCTTTCCCAGGTAGGTCTGTATGAAGACTACTTTTGAACAGGGAGCATCAACAGATGGCACTGGGCATTCTTGTGCCAATGCAGATAGTAATCTTAGATCACATTGCCACATTCAATCTCAGAAGTATTCTCGAACTGAAAGTTCTTTTATTTCATAGCCTCGGAAGCAGAGGTGGTATTCAGCAGATTCTAAACAGTTCTGGAGAACTGGTAGCGGAAATTTTGAGTAGTTCGGAGAACCAGAAAATACCACCTCTGACTGGAGATTTTACAGTATCCCTCCCCTGCCATGCCCACCAAGCCACATCCATAGAACTAGTAGTAAAATTTTTCGAATCTCACCACTGATGGGAAGGATTCAGTGGGATACAGTTCTTTTTCTTGTGTATGCAAATATATTTCAACTTGATGGCTATAATTGTAGCAACCACAATTGGGGCTGCTAACTCAATTAAGTGAAACTTTTACTCTGCTTATGATCTTATTTCAGTTTTCCTTTGCCTTACAGACCCGAAAATGCAAGAGTTACTCACAGAGTTACTTTTCAACATCATCCTAACTGAACAGTTGCTAAATTGTTAAATGAGAACTACCTGTATATTTAGTAGTCTCAGAATATAAGTTAGGAATCAAAGTGCTTTCTGATGAAAAGCGAAAATAGGAGAGGGTCACAAGTGGAAATAATTCTGGCTAGACCACTAAAATAAGATTTCATAGACAATTAAAACCCCATTCTATGATTCCCTAAATGCTACATAGATTTTGTGGCAGAGTGGTTAAAGTGCAGTATTGCAGGCTAACTCAGCCTGCAGCCTGGAGTTCGATCCTACTGAGGCTCATTGTTGATTCAGCCTTCCATCCTTCCAAAATCAGTAAAATGAGGACTCAGATTGTTGGGGGCAATATGCAAATAATACTTCTGCATTGCAAACCACCCAAGAAATGCTGTAGAGCGCTATGGGGCTGTACATAAAATTAAATGCTATTGCTACTGCTATCTGTTTCATCTATGGATTAGAGAAAAAGTATTGGGAGAAAGTCTCAGTTAAAAAAATAAAATTTTCTTATTAGAACAAACCAAATCCTATCTACACTTCTGTAACCAGCTAAATGCCCAAATACAACAACTTAAGAAGTGTATCTAAGGTCAGTTTACAACAAGAGCAAGCTAATAATATCCATTCCCTGTTTCGATCCAGCATTTTAGAAATATACTGACTCTGGAACACTTTTTGTATTCCTCTGAAACACTTTATGTGCGCATGAAGAACACTTAAAAAAATTAGCATATAGTATTTGAATACCTTTTGGAACAAACAACAATGAACAGAACAATCTCCCCACCCCACCCCACCCCACCCCATCACTGCCCTCAGGGCTAATCATTGGGACTATGGAAGAAAGTTTTCAGGGCTGCCGAAAGATCTGTGGTCCACAAAGAATGGTATAGAGTTGCCTGTGAACTAAGAATTGTTATACATGCAAGCTATATTGTCTTATGTGATGTCAGTACTGAGGTTGGATGAGATGCTGTGACACTTGATATCAGGCTACAGAATAAAGATTCAGATTAAACTTTTTTAAGATGTAGTTTTGCAATCAGCCAGTCAATCTATCAATCAATGAGGCTTATTGGTTTGGCAGTGAGATCCAAATAATGCAAAATTGGGGAAAATGTAGAATTCCTATTTACTAGTTACAAGTACTCTATTTCATTTAGAAGTTGTAGGAGCTTCATCACTTAAAGCTTTCAAGAAGAGACTGGACAACCATCTGTCAGAAATGGTTATGGTCTCCTGCTTGGGTGGGAGGTTGGACTAGATACCTACAAAGTCCCTTACAACTCTGTTATTCTGTTATTTGATTTAAACTAGTCCCCACCTTGCTTGAGGAGAGCTGTTTTGATGCAATTGGCAGATTTAAAAAATACAATTGATTCTAAGATAATTTTTCTTTCTCATAGAATGGAAGTAAGAGACAATTTACCATGGCTATCTATGTTGAGATCAGCCAATACATGCCATGATACGCAAACACTCATTATTCAACTAGGTCATGATGATCCCAGACTTTCTGTGGTCAGTCCTTTCATGCACATCCTCAACCCTGACAGAAAAGTGTTCTAAGCTGAACTTTCTCTTTTGTGTTTTGTAGGAAAGGTCAATACAGCCTCTACTACAATCTTCCATGGGAAGGAGCAAGACGTAACTTACTCAGTGGAGACTCCTTATGGCTACCGTCTTGATCTGGACTTTCTCAAATATGTGGATGACATTGAGAAAGGCCACACTATTAAGCGAATTCCAGTTCATCGTCGACCACGCTACAGCTCATTGCCCCGGGGCTATGGCTACACTGGTTCCTGGTGGACATCAACAGAGTCCCTCTGTTCCAATGCCAGTATGGACAGTCGCCATTCCTCCTATTCTTATTGTGGCCGTAGCTTCTACCCACAATACACTAATGCAATTCACAGCAGTTTCAATGCCCGTGTGGAGAAAACTTTGCTGGATGCTAGAAAGAAGTTAGAAGACCAGGCAGACCTAGAAACCCCCACAGCAAGTAGACTAGGAAGTCTCCATAGCAGTGTATCTGGGTCAACAAATTCTTTGGTTGGAAGCCAGAGTATTTCCCATCAAACTTCTTACAATGGCTCACAGCAAGGTGCTTCTGGACAATTCACACCAATTGGTTCTGGGTTGTCCACTCCAGTCTCACCAACTCCAGGACATCTTCAGTATGTTCGTGAGCAGATGGCTGTGGCTTTGAAGAAGTTGCGCCAATTGGAAGAACAGGTCAAGATGATCCCAGTCCTTCAGGTGAAGATCTCAGTGTTACAGGAAGAAAAAAGGCAGCTAAGTGTTCAGCTTAAAAGCCAGAAATTTTTGGGGCACCCAGGAGGATTTGGCAAGGGAAAATCACGAGGGGAGCTCTACATAGACATCCCTGAAGAAGGGGCAGGTGGAAATACAGAGGATAGCAGTACCAGACCTGACATGAAGGGTAGATTGGATAAGAAGGAAGTGAGGTCAGTGGGTGTGGGAAGGACAGTTGAAGATGGAGAAGTGAACGTGGACATGGCAAGATGTGACATAGGGGTAGCAGTCAAGGAGGAGGAGTTGGGGTTACCTTCCCCAGAAGTGGAACAACAATGTCAAGCTATTCAGACCCTATCCACCAAAATTGCTATGTTAGAAACACAACTGAAGAGAGCACTTCAAGATCTCCAAGCTGCCCATCAGAAACTGGAGCATCAGGGCAGGGAGAAGAAAGACAAAGAAACTTCGACAAGAGATGAGGGCCTAACAGAATGGGAAGCAAGAGGAAAAGATGCTCAGCAATGGGATGCCTCCATTCGGGTTGATACAGTCAAAGTTGTCCAAGTGGAAAGGGAGCCAGAGATTGCAGCCAGCATAGCTACCGGTCCTCAGAGGGCACAGGTCCTGGAGAGCAAGGAGCCCTGTGCCAGCCTCAGGCTTTCAGCAGGCAAAGATTCAGTCTCTGAGAAAGTTCAGGTGCCACTTTGTGCCACATACCACAGCAGTGAGGTGATGGAAACCACTTTCCCAATTCATGCTGGAGCAGCAAACACAGCCACCACCTTTCACTCTGTGAAAAAGATCAGCATTGTCAACACAGAAGAGGATGGGGATGGAAAGAAAGAAAGAGGTAAGGAACAAAGGAAGTAATCTAGCCTTGATTTAGTTTAGGGGAGCAGAACCCATTTATCCAGACAAGATTACTCAGTTCAGTTTCTTTGGTTACTTTAATACCAGTTGCAGTTATGCTGTACATAGAAAGACAATAAGACAGAGAAGTGAAAAAGTAAAGAAGAGTAAAGAAGAATAACCAAACAATAAAATAAAATAAAAATGATATAATTCTATTACTATGGGTACAGGTAGTCCTCAACTTACAACAGTTCATTTAGTGTCAGTTTGAAATTACAATGGCATTGAAAAAGTGACTTATGACCATTTTTCACACTTAGGACCATTGCAGCATTCCCACAGTCACGTGATCAAAATTCAGATGCTTGGCAACTAGTTCATATTTATGATGGTTGCAGTGTCCTGGGGTCATAAGATTAGATTTTGAGAACTTCTGACAAGCAAAGTCAATGGGGAAGCCAGATTCACTTAACAACCATTTCATTAATTTAACAAATGCAATGATTCACTTAACAGCTGTGGCAAGAAAAGTTGTAAATGGGGCAAAATTCACTGAATAAATGTTTCACTTAGCAACATAAATTTTTGGCTCAATTGTGGTTGTAACTGGAGGACTACCTCAACAGCCAAAGTTAACAGCCAAGTTAATTTGACATTAAAAATTCAATGTAAACTTTGCTACAGATGTGGCCCCATTTTCTTCCAGCTGTTTTTCTACTGTATTCACTTTGCAATTCCATGTCAAGGATTCTTTGCCTAAGAATTGCTGTGGCCTGTTAGTGTCCCAGTGTGAATGGTACATCTGTGTAAAGCCCTATTTATGAATTTTACCTTCAATTTGGTAGATACAGTATATTGAACAGATAGACTCAATAAAATAAGAGAAATCAAACCTTGTAGTTAAAAATTAATCTTTAGCCAGTGTTTAAATATACATAGCCATGTCCTTGTTTCATTTGCCAACAGCCCATGTCCCAGCCATAAGCTGCAACTAGAAACAAGATTTTGCCATGACGTAATGCATCTTTCTCTTTCTTAAGCAAGGTTGCATTACAATGTTTTATTTTATTCTTTTATTTATCAAATTTAGAGACTGGTTATCCATTCACAGAGCGACTCTGGACAATGTACAATTAAAAACATAAAAACCATGTAAATATCATAGATCAATAACAGACAGGCAAAACAGGAATAAATTAAAGTTAAAAGTGGGGGGCCCTTCAAGACAGTTTGCCAACCCTAAGGTTGCTACTCCACTCCAAGTCAGGCGCAAGCAAGTCAGCAGAGTCAGGTCTTCAAACTCTTCTGAAAGACTAGGAAAGTGGTAGCCTGTCTCGTTTCTGGGGCCAGGGTTGATATTTTGCTTATGTATTTTCCTTTAACTGGAATATTACCTTATAAAAAGTTCAGTTCATGCACATAATGTTTAAAATGACACACAGCACTATATCAGTTTATATCTGGACCTATTAAAAATAGTCAGGACAAAAGACTGATTTCCATAGTCTTTAGAGAGATAAAAAATTCTGGCAGAATCCCTTTGTCAAAGTCAGGAGAAAAATGTTAAAGCCGGGCCTGCAAATTTATTGCAAAATTCAACTGTTTTCTCACACAACTTTAATCTTAAAAGAAGCATTCATAGAAGGAATTGGCTTTTTGGCCACAATTTATAGTAGGAGCAAAACAAAAAGGCAGTTTTAAAATAGTCTGTGGAATTTCCAGTGGGGAGGTCAAATATTCTTGAGCAAAAAGATTATTGGAAGCTGAAGTTATGATGAAGATAAGCTAAAGTTACCTTTGTCCAATAGACCTATGAGGTGGGCCAGAAATGCTTCCTTAGGCTCAGAATTAGACTAAGCTACAAATCTCTGGAGGATACAACTCTGCCTCACAATTCTTTTCTTAGCTCTCTGCTGGTACTTGGTGTATTCTTAACTCTGCATGTGGAAATCACAGCAGAATCTCCAACATGAGGTAGAACTCCCTTGGGATGAGCAGCCTACATTCTTGGCATCAGGACCTGGATAAACATTGGGAGCTTTTCCAGCTGTTGCAAAGTTGCAACATGAAAGCCAACTGAGCCTCTGTGGATCAATGTGTCTTTAGGGTTTCCCTAAGATCTTATTTGTCTGATCATCTTCCTGCTGCAGTTGTACAGTTGATTGCAGAAAGGGACTTTTGTTTTCAGAGCAGTGAGTGTTGCTTGTGGAATAACTGCATTGCTTGGGGTCTATTGCAAGGGGTGGTCTGCAGGATGATAGAAAAAATGTTCATCCCACTCCTGTAATCCCTGCTTTGTTGTGGGGTAGCAGGACTAAAAGAAAACAATTCCTTAAAATAACTCATGACTTGACGTAAGTTTCTTCCGGTGGTTGCTGAATGGAAATTGTAGACAAAGGCAAGGAGATGATAGCCTTGATTAAACCAGCAAACACTGGTGAACATATTATTTTCCTGAGATGTCTAATTAAAACTAAAGACTCCCTCAAGTCAAGTTTGATTTCTGGTGGCTGTTTGGACAAATATATCTAGTTGCTTGAAAACAATACAGAAGTGATTTACCATTGTCGTCTTTAAGGATGTTGCTTTCAATTTCCCAATCTTGCATTCAGCTATGGGATTTCCTAGTGATCTTTTGAGGTGCCTTTTTTCAAAATCAGCTAAAATTGTCTACGTGTTGTCACCTGCTGAGTGACATGTTTAATTGTTTATTTATCTATTCTCCTAATATCTTTCAACTCTCTGTCCCTAATGTCACAAAGAGACAAACTGTTATTATACTTAACTGTTAGTTTAGTTTCTCTGTATCATTCCAGCTAGAACCATTGCTTCTTTTAAAACAGCCAATGCCTGGTATGACTAAATGCAAATCTATAGAATTCATCCCAAGTTACAACTTAAGAGAAAACTGGTATTTGCCAAGATAAACCCATAATATAGTAAAAAATACTAGAAATGTAATGATACAGAAGGAACATTTTATCATATGTGATGGACTTGTACAAAGTTAAAAAAAATACTGGAAAGAAATTTTAGATTTTTTAAAATTGAAACCACATTTTGCTTTTACTAGATGTAATTCCAAGAAATTTTAACAAAAATGTTATAGTTTATGAAGATACATGTTTATAATGGGGAGGATAAACCTAGCAGACTATTGGAAAACAGATCTGTTATTGACTATATCAATTTGGAAACTTAAACTTGGAGATTACGTAGCAATGGCAAAACTAACAGCTTATATTCATAATAGAAGTTTGATTAAATTTAAGGGATAACTTTCATATAATAAATTATGCAGCAAACCTATGCATTTAGAAAATGGTTTTTAAGAGAGGAAGCTGGCCAAGAATTTGACTGAACGAGTAAGTAAAATACAGTAAATAAAACAATCTCTATATATTTAAGTAGCATTGCATCCAGGCTCCAACATAATGCTTGATTGCATGTGTCCATGAATATTTTCTTTATATCCCCCATGATACAGTTGAAATGACTGTTTATATTACCAAATTATTTTTTTAAAGGAAGCAGAACTGCCCTATCTTTAAGCAAAACTCCAATCGCCTGGATTGATTTTCATTTTTTGGCCTCTAGTGGGCTTTATAATCTTTTTTGTGGCTGCAGTCAACTTCAGTTTGGAAATGTATTGAAAAAAAGACAATAACAGGGAGTATCTCATGGCAGAGGGGATGTGGGTGGGATGTTAAGCAGCTTGATTCTGCTGACCCCATAATGTGAATGTGCAAGCTTCTCAGCAGCCATCGGTAAAAATGCAGAAGTTATTATTTACAGAACTCCAAATGTGCTACCATCCCCAAAATAGGAAAATTATATTAGCTACTCTAATAGTGGGTGAGCATCTGTTAAACTAGAGGCATAATCTCCAATTTAATCACAAGGGTGCTCTTCTGGAAACTAGATGAAGAACCAATCTTCACAGAGGAGCCAAGATAAGCCCATATATTGGGCATAGCCTGAAAGATACTTGACTACAAGTTTCTTTTATTCTTTTTTCCATATAACTTTACTATTCATTTGCAGAACACATAATTCTTTGTCTTATGCTATTTCTTTCAATATCAATACATCTCTACATTTTTTACAAATTATTATGATGTTGTGAATTTATGAATGTTGGTAAAAAAACATCATAGCTTAATACAAGGAGGGAATATTCCTTGTGTATAAAAAAAGTTCCATAAAGGTAGTTCTCAATTTATAACCATTTGTTTAGTAACCATTTGAAGTTACAACAGCACTGAAAAAATGACTTATCACCATTTTTCACACTTACATCCATTGCAGTATTCACATGGTCACATAATCAAACTTCAGACTCTTGCCAACTAGCATGTATTTATGACAGTTGCAGTGTCCCAGGCTGTGTAATCACCTTTTGCGACCTGCTGACAAGCAACGTCAATGGGGAAGCCAGATTCACTTAACAACTGTGGCAATAAAGGTTGTTAAAGTGGGGTAAAACTCATTTAACAACTGTCTTGCTTAGTAACAGAAATGTTGGGCTCAGTGATGGTTGTACATTGAGAACTACCTGTATATATTGTTCCCTGTTTTCCAGGCTTGGAATGTTAAATTATTATATGGCACTTGGCCAGGTTGTAATCAAGCCATGTATTACATACATGGAGCAATATTGCATTCCTTAATGTGAAACCACAAAACAGCAATATTGATACTACATAATCAAAAAGACATCCAAGGGGCAGCAATCTGTTGCCACTCTCCTGTTTCAGAGCCCAAAGAATCACTAGAGAAAACTGAAGATTCCCTTCTTGACTCCCTCCAAGTGGTTCCTTGCCTCTCTCAAGAACCTAAACTGGATGTTCAGAAGGAGGATCAAGGTAAGAAGGGGTGGTGGTGGTGAAAGGTGCCATGGAATCCTCTGACAAGTTGATATTACTACCTTCATTTTTTTCTCCATAGCTTCATCTACTGCAGGGATCCGGTCAATTATGAAGAAGAAGGAAGAACCTACAGAAATAGTGACTAGCAAGAAGAGCCTCCAGTTTGTGGGTGTCAATGGAGGGTAAATCTCAGTTTCAGAATTATAAAGAAAATGGGAAGCTCCCACTTCATTCCTCAATTCCCCAGTTCATTCCTCAATTCCTTAATTGAGGAAACAAGGCATACAGGACTTGTTTCCTTCTGTAATCTTTAATTTGGAGTTCAAAGAAGCAATATGCCATCTTCACCTCAAAGAAACACAACAACTGAACAATTTTATCAGAGTTTGCTTAGAAGTCCTATCATAATCTATCATTGGGTGAGAGCTCTACTTATCCTTGCTGCTTTTATTGTAAGTTGCCATTTGTACCAAGACAGGTTTCCATTGTCCCATTGTGACCTGCAAGATCCCAAGTCACCTGGCATCTCTGAAGTTCTTCATTCTTGAAATGCAGTGGTAGCACACAGCCAGGGTTTGCAATAGTGTCTTTCTGTTCTGAAGAGAATCTGGAGAACTTTCTCAGACTTTTTTTGGCTGTGTTGTTCCAGGTATGAGTCTACCTCTTCTGAGGACTCCAGCACAGCTGAGAACATCTCAGACAATGAAAGTACTGAGAGTGAATACCATGAGGCAAGTGAGGGCCTTCCTGCTGGGCAAGGAATTGTAGCTGAAGCTCCAAAGCTTTCTGGAATAACCACAGATATATTACATCCTGGAGTACCTGTTGAGGTGGGGAAAATGACCACAGCAGAAGGTCCCAGCAAGGAACCAGCAGACAAAACTGGGTAATCACTAGTTTGGACATCTTCAGAGCTCTTGAGAGTCTGCACTATGCACTGTATGCTTTACATAGCCATTAATTCCACCCCTCAACTCTTTAAAAGCAATTTAAAGTTGACCTGCATCTATCATCATACATTCAGATTAACAGGCTATTCTTCTGACCCCAAACTTCCCAACCCCACAAAACCCCGCTGAAATTGCACTATTGTTATTTGATAATAGGATATGTGAGCATCACAAAATGTTTTACCCACCCCTGTTTTACCCAATGCTGTCCTGGAAACAGTTTCAGAGTTCTTTTCTTCTTGAGTAAAATAACTCTCTATATGTTGTATTGTAAGGGCTGTAACAGTTGTTGCACAACTGTCATTGAATTATAACCCTGAATTAGCACAAAACAGAACAATTCACTGTAAATGCTCTGTATTAATTTTCCCTCTCAGAGAAACTTCCTAATTTAATGCTAAACCACAATTTAGGATTATTGCTCTATGTAATCTTGATCAAAAACTTAGTTGATATATTCCCTCTTTTTCCTCCCCCTTCCACTTGATTTATAAGCACACTTCCAATGAATTAATAAACAAGCTGACCACAAACTGAATTAGAATGCTGACTGGTTTTAAAATAAACATTTTTCTTCTTCAATTGTATCTGATTTTCAGATCAGTCAATCCCTGCAGTTTTCTTGGCAAGGTTTTTCAGAGGTGGTTTGCCATTCCCCCTTTTCTAGAGCTGAGAGAGTGACTGGCCCAAGGTAGCTTCATGCCAAAGACAGGATTAGAAATCAGTCTCCTGGTTTCTATTCTGGAACCTTAATACAGTACTACTCCAAACTGGCTCTCTAAAATAAGTATATATTTTTTCAAAATACAGGATCTTGTTCAAAGTTAAAAAACAACACAAAATTATGAGAACTGAAAATGAATCCTGCTTAACTCTTCCTTATAGCCATGAAAAAGGAAAAGTGAGGAGAGAACAAAAACCCAGTTTTCCGCACATAATACTAAATACTAGCATTAGTAATATATATAAAAACAGACAGGGGCTAAAATGTCCCTCTTTTTTCACTTTTTTTCAATTACCAGGTTGGGTCTCAGCAAGGAGTTGCTTTCAGCTTGTGCAGTTCTTCAGAAATACTTAGAGAGTTCGAATCCACAAATGGATGAAGAGACGGTATACATTTATTTCTTTTATTTTTGTAATAAGTTTTTATTTTATTTTATAACATACAAAAATTCCAATTTCAGTTGTCTGGGTACAAATCATTTTAGGAAATAATAATCACAGTATTTATAATAACATTCATTGCATTAATGTCAATTATACTAATGTTAATAATCATAATAATCATACTATTTTTTAACCAAGTTAACATATCTTCTGTAAATCATTAATCCTTTCATATATTTCCCTGTTTCTAACTCCTTTTTTTGTCAGCTAACCATTGACAAAATAAGTCCCAAGTCAAAAAATATTCAGTTTCTTCATTTTCCTTAATTATAAGTGTTAGCTTATCTGGATATATATTTATTTCTAAAGTTGGGGTGGGTATTTAAAATAATGTCTCTGATACCCTGCCCATTTGCCAGAATATAATAAGCAATGGAAATACTGAAAAAGCACAGAACATTCAGCCATGAAGACAGCATGCAAAAATGGGCCCTAACAATTTCTTACCTACCTCTCCTGTTATTTCTTTTTCTTATATGTACCCTGGCAGAAATTAGCCTATACCTCAATGCTCCACTATTGGCTCAAGCTTTCCTGCCACAAAGAAGCCGATCCAGATTTGATCTCGCTGCACTTGACAGATTTCCGGGCTGTTTCCCCGCAGTTGCTAGAATTCATCATCAATATGGCGGATGCCAATGGCAACACGGCCCTGCATTATTCAGTCTCGCATTCCAACTTCCCCCTTGTTGCAAAACTAATTGAAACTGGTAGGTGGGGACAGAAGAAAGGGAGGGAGCCTTTGTCAGAATAGCCCATCTAAATGAACAGCAATAGCAGTCAATTTCCCAGGGCACTTGGGGCTCTAGAGCCTAGGATGACTTTCAAGCCAGGGGAGCCAGGATCCACTTTAGGCTGGTGAGGACAGTTTGAATTCTGAGAATGTGTTGGGTTGCTGTCATGAACAAAATGATTTGCCAACTTAAAAAATAATTCCTATAGATTATTTGACAGAATTGCCACATTGACATAATTTGCAGAGATTGCTGCCTGATGCTGTTTTTAACCCCCCAGGAAGGTTTCTCCTCTCCTAATTTAACTTTTTTTTTTAAACAAATTTTATTCAGTTTTTAAAAACAAAAATCTCTTTTTAGTGGACAGCATATTTCTGGGTCATCACCTTTACATACAAATATGACAGCATTTATACATTCATATATGCATACTTAATTCTATTATTACCTTTTCCATTCCAAATTTTCAGTAAGGAGAGAAACAAACACATTAATTCTAGCCTCTTTCATTAATCTCAATCGAAACATCTTTTTGTTTCATTTCAATTATTTCAAATATAATCCTTTAATATTTATTTTAAAAATAAAGATAAACAATATGTGTTTGCCTAATAATAATAATTAGTAATAATAATAAAGTTACCAATATCTCTCCTTGCTTTTAATAGTCTATGTTAACTTATTAATTTAGTTGGTTCTTTAGTCTGTCATATTCCCTTTCCATTACACATTCTTTTTATAAATTCTAGATTAATACAAATTTTAACACTAAAAAAAAAAACGTATAGGTTTCCCCCCTTTTACTGCTTTGAATGTGACACCTCAATAATTAAAATATACCTTTATTCCCTCATCTTGATTCCCAATAAACCATTATTTTTAAGAAGTTACAATAATCATCATTACATCTTTTCATTTGGATTCCGCAGCATATTTCCCCCCCTTGATTTTTAATAAGAGTTATCAGTATCTATATTATCCTATTTTCTAAATATTTTTAATTGCAGAAATATTCTTATTACCCCTTGTCACCCTGCAGAATCCCCTTTTTAATTCATCAACCATTATCTCTGAAAAAACAATTTATTTTCAACATTTTACTATTTCCGTATTTCTTTATTTCATGCACCTGTTTCTTACTGCTTCTCCTCCCCCTCTTCTCATTCCAGTTTATATCCCTCTCTTTCTTAATATCTTCCTTTCCCCTTTTCTGCTGGGTCTTTCTGCCCTTCCTGACTTCACAGGTATTCCCCCTTTTGATTGCCTTCTTAAATCTCAACTTTTTAACCTTCCTTCTTTCCCCACTTCTTTGTAGTGTTCTTTGTGTTAATTGTCTATTTAAAATGTCTTCTCCTTGAATCGACTCCTCCTCCTCTGAAGCTCTTTCTTCTTGTTCTTCAGTCGCCATTTCCATTTTTTCTAACACAGAGCAAAGTGATTTGCCTCTTTCCTGTAGTAATTCTGTCATATTTTTAAGTTCCATTTTTAATTCCCGAAGAAATGTCATCATTATACACTCTTATATTTTATGATTGTTAAAGTCCACACAAAAAACCCACTTTTACTTTCCTTCTTTCTTCTTTCAATTTTCTAAAGTTCTCAGTTATTCCAGCCCAGGGTTTATACCAAAAACATCAATCAATCCCACAGTCAGTCTTTCCTTGCTTTTTCCTTTATTCTGGTTCTGCTTTCACTTTCTAAAATTCTTACTTTGTTTCAATATTACTTTAATGTTATATCCACACAAGTTCATTCAGAAACAGGATGCTTTCCGTTTTGTTTGAGCTCAAGTTTTTGTCAAAAGGTGGCACTCTCCATTATACAAAGTCTTCACCTTTTTCCCCTATTTCTTTATTTAGGGTTTTTCGAGCCTCAGTATTCCAGCACAGTCCAGTCTCCAATTTGTAAACTTTATTATTATTATTTTTTGACAATCTTAAGTCCAGCTTTATTTTATGTCTGTTTATATCCCCAAAATATTTGAGTCCAATTTAGTTAAATCTTTAGTTCCAGCTTCTTCCTTTCCCAGTTCGAAGCCCCGCTTAGCTGTCAAAAATATTTTCTTATTTTTTTTCCTGTCCCTTTGTAATTTTGCCGCTCACTTTTCTTTTCTTAAAAATTCCATGTTACCTTAATCCCGGGGTACTTTTGTTTAGTTGTGTCACCCAGTTGTCCTGGTTCAGATGTTATCCACCTCTTTCTTCCCTCCTGCACAAATCGTAGTCCAGCTGAGTCCTCCTCTTCGGGGTGGCCATTTTAAACCACCGCTGCAGTCGTCTTCGGGGGGAAAAAGACCAAGCCCAGGAGGGGAGATGTGGCTCCCCTCAACCTGGCTTATGGCTTCCCCTTACTCCACCGCCCCTCCAAGGCAGCTTCAGCCCCTAATCATAATGATTGGGGCTCTCCAACAAAAGAGCACAGACCATAGCCGCAGAGAGTCGTGATCTATGGTCCGTCAGCGAGGAGGCTCCGCCTTCTTCCCTCTCCTAATTTAACTTTGACCCCCATCCCCAACCAGGATAGATTTGGCAGATTTCCAACCAATCCCTGCATTTCAGCCTCTCTAACTTTTGTTTTCTGAAAAGGCTATAGAGCAGTCTTAGATATTTATGAAATAAATATGAAGCAATTGGTTGGCATTTTGCCTTACCATGTATTTGCTTTTCTGTTCCTGTTTTAAACTAGGAGAATCTTCTTTTAAAAATTAAATGATGCAGAAAACCTGTTATGAACCAAGGAACCTTCTGTAGGCACCCTGTGGCATGTACTGGTTTCGCATTAATTCTGCTTGGATTTATTTACATTCAACATACTTCCATCCTCCATGGAATTTAGATTTTTCTTTTTCAATAAAATTTTATTTGGGTTTTCACACATACAAAATACAAGTAAAACGTCTTTTTTGAAAATAGCATGGTCCCGGGTTGAACTTCTTTATACAGACACAAAATTCAATTTCATGCTCCTTTTTGTGTTCTATTCCATATCTTATATTATTCTACATTTTCTATATAGTTTTTCCCCTCTTTTAATTTTCTCAATTTTATTTTGATTATATCATCTCAATTCAAATCATTGTATTTATACTTTTGTCTGTTCTGTTTCAATTTCATATTATCTTTTCTCATTAAACAAATGTTCTGTAGTTACTAATTGGAGTATGACACCTTTATATATTTTAATTACATCCATTCAACTCTTATTTAAACTTCAATATATACCTTAAGGTTATGACCTTCAATATAATACATAATACATAACTTCCAATCAAATTCTGTTTGGTACATTCTTATAATACGCACTATATTCTTAAAAAAAAAAAGATTATAAACCCTCATTCCATTCCAATTCAGTTCTATCATTAAAATCTTAACATCTTTAACACTTCAATTAAATATCATACTTCCTTAAAGACACATATAATCTCCATAATTAATTTTCCCTTATTTCTCTTCACATATGTTTTGTAAATTATTAAATATTCATTTTGTTACATTTATTTATTAACAAGCATTCCACTGAATTACAATAGCTATTTTATCAAACATTTTAATCATACATTGTTTCATATTTTCTAAAATTATTTCTGTTTCTAATATAACAACACTATCTTATGTACCTTTGCAGAATCCCCCTTTCCATTAAATTTTCGCCCATTATCTCTAAATAGGCCCTGTTTCTCTATATTTTGTTTCTGTCCTTTATATCTTCTTTTCCTTTCTTTCTTCCTTCTCATCTTCTCCCTCCCCTTTTTACCCCTTTGTCTCCCTACTTCTAATTCTCTCTTCTGCATTTCCCTCTTCTGTTGCTTTCTGATTTTGTACTTATTTTTCACTCTATTTGGGGGGACGGGGGGGGAGTTGTTTTTCCCAATCTTAAACTTTCCATTCTCTTTCCCCACTTTCCTTTTTTCCCCCCACCTAAGATTACTTGTTCATTAAAGATGGCTTCTTCTTTGTCGCAATCTTCTTGTTCTGCAGGCATTTCTTGTTGTTTCTCATTTCCAAATCTCCATTTCTAAAAACTGAAATACGAAGCCAAAAGAACCTCTTGCTTCTTGTGCATCTTCTTTGTACTTTTTAAGTTTCATTTTCAGTTCTTCTAAAAGTGGAGCCATTTTAAACAGTTTTAAACAACCACCCGATTGATTTTAGTCATTCAAATACAATAATCAAAAATGCAGAAATCATCAAGTAATCCAAACAGTCCCAAGTTATTTCTTCTTATTTCTTTTTCGACTTTCTCTTCCTGGGGTTTTTGTTGCGATATTTCAGTTAAAATGTATCCTTTTGGAAGTCTTGTTAAGATTTTGCTGTAAATTCTTTTTAATTCCAGGCAGTCTCGTCCCTTCCATATCCTGCCCTTTTATTCTTTTTCTCTCCTTTCCAGTTTTCAAAAGCTTTTGATTATCCAGAAATCTTTATTATCCCTTTGACTTTTTATTTTCAGCATTAAATGCCTATTAATATCAAAGTGGATTTTTTTCCAATTTCTTGCTTAAGTCTCTTAGCTGTCAGTATAGGAAAAGGAGAAATAAAACCAAATCTTTTCCTTTTTCTCTCTCCTTCGCAGCTTAAAAATCTTCTTAGGGAACAATGTTATTGTTTTTTTTTTAATAGTTTCAATTCCAGGGTACCTTATTTGTTGTTTTTGCTGTTTGACCCGGTCAACCAAAACTTTCTCTTCTTATCTTCCTTCTGCACATTCTTTTCCGGTCGAGTTCTTCTTTCTGGGGGCCATTTCTGACCACAGCTACAACCGCCTTCGAGAAAGGGAGTAATGGCCAGCTGGGGAGGAGAGATGCGGCTCTCCTCAACCCTGCGGGCAGTTTCCCCCTTCTTCACCACCTCTACGGAGTGGCTTAGCCCCAAAACCAGCCGGCTCGGGGCGCTCCAGCGGTGAGCACGGATCGAAGCCTCGCAGAGATGAGGTTTCGGTCTGTCGCTGAAGAAGCTCAAACCGGAAGTCCTCCATGGAATTTAGATTTGAACTTTGCACTGACAATCACCCTATAAAGTAAAAGAGGCTGAAGGGAAAGAGACTCATCAAGACCACTCAATGCAAATGTTTAAAGCTGAATGTCCCAATTCACAGATCAATGCTCTGGTCACAGCAGCACAGCAGTCTATTAGGGAGAACCTGGAGGGCTGGAACTTTGGCAGGAAATGGTTAGGTCTAATGCAAGGGGTGAGGATTTTTCCAAAAACAGTACAAATAGGTGCTTCATCACTGGAGGTTTTTAAGAGGAGGCTGGACAGCCACCTGTCTGAAATTGTATAGGGTCTCCTGCTTGAGCAGGGGGCTGAACTAGAAGACCTCCAAGATCCTTCCAGCTCTATTCTGATTGATTGATATATAGGAGATGGTCATAAGGCCAACTATTTGGGAAACCCAGAGGAAAGATGTATGGTTGTGTCAGGAGGGTACTATTCCCTGCATAGTGCCTCCTGACATAACCCAACACCTTTCCATACACTTTGCATATTTCTCTGATGTTACCAACTATTTGGTATATATGTGAAATGTACTATCATATTGGATCTTCCTTAAAAGATGTTTACCATGTTGGGGTTTAAAATAGAGGTTTCATAGATTTTTGACCAAAGAAAGATAGATAATAGTGGACTCTCTCCAGTAACTTCCATTTATGATATCTCTTTTCTTAGAGACATTATAAACAAATTTTACCACTGCTTCCCAGAGCTCATTTGAAATTGTGGAACCCACAATATTCAAATATTTATTTCCAGAAGGATGAAGTTTTCTAATACAGTCTTGTTATTGTAGGTTTGTGTCATGTGGACCAACAGAACAAAGCTGGCTATACAGCCATCATGCTCACAGCACTGGCTGCCTCTCAGACAGAGAGTGACATGGAGACTATTAAGCAGCTGCTGAAAAAGGGCAATGTGAATGCCAAAGCCAACCAGGTACTAACTTTACCAATAGATTCTTGCAAAATTGGAAGGATAATAATGAGGATGATAGTGACAACCAGAAAGTAGTAATCATACTCTCACATGAGTACATGGAAATTTTTCAAAATCTTTTAAAATGCTGTTAACTGGCTTCAATAGATATACAAAATCTGAATAGAATTTGTGCATCTTCAATATTTTAGATTGTTCTTAATACACATGGTTTTTAAGAGCTAGGCATTGCAACAGGCTTTTCCCTACCCTGCATTTGGCAGCCCCTTAACTCTTTTGGTTTTTCTCCCAACTCCTACAGGCTGGGCAGACTGCATTGATGTTAGCTGTCAGTCATGGGCGTCTTGAGATGGTACGTGCCTTGTTAGCAAGTGCCGCAGATGTCAACTTGCAAGATGATGATGGCTCTACTGCACTGATGTGTGCCTGTGAACATGGCCATGCTGAGATTGTCCGCCTGCTATTGGCTACCCCTGAGTGTGATGTTGCCCAGACAGACAATGTAAGTCCTGCTTAGACTTATGCTGCTGCTGCTGAGTTTGTTGGGTTGTCATCCATCTCAGAGCCCATAGGAAAAACTCTGCACAATAGATTTCATTCAGTTGCCAAGGCAAATTAGAAGTCTTACTCAGTGCCAAGGTTTAGTACTGGACTATTTGAAACACGTAGTAATTTTTTCTCATAATTGAATAACTGCAGCTCAATCTTAGGAAAGAAAGAGAGAAGGAAGCAGGGCATATTGGGAATAAAATCATCAAATTCTTCCACATTTGATTATTAAATTCAAGTAATACTACCCTAACATCCCACACACACACCAACCTCCTTGGTCCTATGTTTGGGTGAGCCTTCTACCATAATTTACCATAATTTTACTATTATCTAAGTGTGTGATTGGAAAATGAGAATTGTGCACATTGCCAAACATTCTCTTTCCAAGAAAAATAAATCAGACAGTTGTTTGCTATTACATATAGGTGGTGGAGGGGATGATTCTCTTGGCTTTGGGGTGAACATTAAGAATAAGATGGGCATCAATAAATCAAATCAATTGATCAATCAGTCGATTGATTAATTGATCAATCAATCAATGTTCCAGTAAGCACTGTTGGAGAATAGTAATTTGTTTTATTTATTGCATTAATACTATTTTGTCAGGGCACTCAAGATGGCATACATAAGGGGTATTTCCTAATTTTACTTCCATAATCATAATCTTGTAAAGTAGAGTGAGTGAGTGGAAATGATTGGCTTGGAGTCAACCAACTATGGTAAAGAACCTCGTCTCTCTGATGCAAGTCTAATACCATACCTGAACTACTACCCTGTATTAATGTTCAAAGAACTGTATGACTCAGTCCCAGATAGCATTTCCTGGAATTCCAGGAAGTGGGAGGGCAACCAAAATGATGACAATTCCTCCTTACAAAAACAGTGACACCCCCCCCCCCCATAAGCCCCACCATCACTGCAGCCATATGTGTATCTTCTTACCTTCTTCTGTAGGATGGCAGCACAGCTCTCTCCATTGCACTAGAAGCAGGTCAGAATGACATTGCTATCATGCTGTATGCTCGCTTGAACTTTGCCAAAGCTATATCACTGGTGAGTTGCTTCCTATAATTGTAAAAGCATTTGTCATAAAATTACTTGTAAGCTATTTTCTCTTAAAATCCAGGAAACTTCAAGGAAGAGCATTCCCACTAGATGGCTATCCAGTTTTTCTTTAAGAATCTCTGTCAAAGGTTGGAGGGAATGGGTTCTTCTCTTCTTCCTAGTTTTCAACGAAAATTTGTATCTTATAATTGAAGCCCATTAGAACATGCTTTCTCAGCCAAGGAAAGAAAAGTTTTTGCCCTCTTCTATGTGATAGTGCTAGAAAGAGTGAATTTTTCTCTGAGGTAATGAGTTTCCTTAAGCTTTGCTCATAGAACTATTTTTCCTGACAATTATAACCATAGTTGGTGATGTCATCTTTCATTTGGTCTACAGCCTTTTTAACCCCAAAGATAACAGTCATATAGTTCTAGAGAAAAACAGGTTTCAGGCAGAATAAACGACTAAGAAATTATTCTAGTAATCTGATTGTAATTTGGTGTAGTCTTAACGCATCAAGCTAGAAACTGGAAGACCATGAATCTTGATCACAAAGTCTGCTGGGTGACCTTGGACCAATCACTTTCTCTCAGCCCTTGGAAGGAGGCAATGGCAAATCACTTCTGAAAACTCTTGCCAAGTAATTTGCAGGGACACGTCCACACAGAATGGGACATGATTGAAAGGAAGAATTTTTTTTTTTAGGTGGCTCTAATGTGGTATTAATGAAATATTAATGTTTGCAATATAAACACAACCAAGGCAGAACAGGAACAACATGATTCAGAGTCCCTGGGGGAGGCTGACATGCATTTGGTGATAATAACAGAGGACAGATAAGTTTTCTGTGGATTCAGTTTTTTAAAAAAATAAGTTTGTTGATGTTTGAGAACTGTAAGAATCATAGCTGTGATGCTATGACATCACTAAGAAGATGGATCAGATTTTTTTTTCCATTTTGGAGAGTTTAGCATATCCTGTTTTGGTGAAAATCAGGGGAGAATCTGGTTACCTGACAATTACCAACAATTTTTAGTGAAGTGACATGGGAGGTTGGGCACCTGCAACTGATCAAGAGAATTCTAAGATCTTATTTAATCCATTTTGCCATATACCCTCAGGGCAAGTTGTTTATCACTCTGTTTTCCCATATTCCAATCTTCAGTTTGAGTATAATTATAATCCACCCCAAATGGCAGCTAGGCTCAACATGGAGTGGTAAGTGAGCAGGAGATCTGTACATATGTATTAACATGGATTGTTGGGTTTGTGTAGCTGTTGTCAGATAAGGGAAAGGTTGATTAAAAATAATATGCTAAAATGAGGCTGGAAAACTGGGGGTCTTTCATTAAGAAGCAATAATGAAGTACTTTTTTTCAGAATACCTTGGAGCAGTTGAAGCCTGAAAATGCTGATACAATATTCAGTGATACTCTGTAACCCAAAGTAAGATGATATTGTTATCCCAAAGTTTTCTTACTTCTGCTTGAAAATTTGGCAGTCTCGATGAAGGAAATATATATCTACAAAACCATAAACATTGCCAATGTATACAATAGTATACCCTAGAAATGCTTCCTGTCCTTAGCTTCTCTCACTGCCTTCATCAGCTGAAATCTCACCATCTACTCTGCTCAGAGGGAAGAGAAGTGGACCTTCCAGGATAACGGACTTTGTGAGCGTCATTTCGACACTGTGGCCATGTATTCAGCTATGCTTGATGAGATGCAGTTATGTCAAATAGTGAGCCAAAGGGAAGATTGGAAGTTTAAGGTCTCTGGATGTTGCTATGGCTTTTCTGCTTCATCAAAACTAATGTGTCTTATCTTTTTTATCTCAATTATTCAAGAAGCAAGAGACATTGCAGGGCATAAAAGGAGGCCAAAAGGAACAATTGCAGTTCCCCTCCCCAAACATTCAAAAATAGTTTGCCTGAGGTCCACAGGCATTGGCCTCACTGCTAAATTCAAACTTCTCCATACTTCCTTCTAATTATCAATAAGAAGATGCAAAAACTATTTAATCAGCGCCCACATCTTCATGTTTTTACTTCTTCTGTGCATTCCTCAGGTGATTTCCCCACCAAAATGACAGTTTGCTATGAGGGGAACTGCAAAGCCTTGAAAGACCTGTGAAATTTAGTTTCTGAGCACAATGTGATGGCAGGTAAATAGTGAGAGGTGTTCTTTGATTCAGGGGGGGAAATCATCATGTCCATCAGAAAGCATTGGTGCTCCAAAAGGGAAAAATCAGCATTACAGCAACCGAGATTAACCAAAGCTGAGTAGGAAATAGATCCAAATTGAGGCACCAATAAAAAGTTGCCAAGAACTTGATTAGTTTGTTTCCATTCCGTTGTTGTAGTGGGACCCAGCAGACTTCAGATCTATGTCTCTGTATGAACTTCCTTTGCTTCTCTTCATCTAGGAATCTGAAGTGTGCAGCAGCGGCCAAAACAGTCAATGCAATCCTAGGCTGCATTAATAGAGGGATAGAATAAAGATCTCATGAAGTTCTAGTACCACTTTACAGTCTTAATAAGACCATACTTGGAGTACTGCATCCAATTCTGATCACCACAATATAAATAAGAGACTATGGAAGAAGTGCAGAGAAGAGCAACAAGGATATTATGGAGTAGAGGCAAAAACATATGAAGACCAGTTGCAGGAATTGGGTATGTCTAGTCTTAGAAAAAAGAAGGATTAGGGGAGACACGATAGCAATGTTCCAATATTTGAGGGGCTCCCATGCAGACGAGGGAGTCAAAGGCAAGACAAGAAGCAATGGATGGGAACTAACGAAGGAGAGAAGTATCCTAGAACTAAGGAGAAATTTTCGAATAGTGAGAGTGATCGATCAATGGAATGGCTTGCCTTCAAAAGTTGTGGGTACTCCATCACTAGAGGCTTTCAAAAAGAGACTAGACAGACATTTGTCTGAAATGGTACAGGCAGGGTCTTCTGTTCAAGCAAGGGTTGGACTAGAAGGCCTCAAAGTCCCTTCCAACTCTGTTATTCTGTGATATATTCCTGTTCCATTGCAAAAAGGGGAAAATAGTTTAAAGAGGCCAATGAAGGAGTGTCTCTCTAAATCAGCTCCATAGAGAATAGATACTCCTTTCATTTTCTGTTTTAAAGTTATTGAAATTCTGTATTTAATTTACCTGAATTAATTTTTGAAATCCCTAACCTTGTGTGAAGCAGAAATTATTTTTTATTACAGTGCAAAATCACAAAATAAGCAGTGCTTAAATAGATCTAAGATAAGTATTTGACACTGAATTTTACATTTGTCAATATATTTGTATGATAAATATATCACTACTCATAAAATGCAAGTCGTAAAAGAATCATGGAACAAATATATGCTATACATAACAAATACACACCCACTCCCAAGCTAGTGATCCCTGTTTTTCTACTTGTATTTTTACATGCTTTTGAACAAGGAGAGATTTAACTTGGAAATAAGGAGAAATTTTCTGACAGTGAGAACAATCAACCAATGGTACAGCTAGCCTTTGGAAGTTGTGGGAGCTTCATCACTTGAGACTTTCAAGAAGAGATTTGGACTGCCATTTGTCAGAAATGGTGTAGGGTCTCCTTCTTGGATGGGGGATTGGACTAAATAAAGTTCTCTTCCAACTCTGTTAATCTGCTAGGTTGGCAGAAGCTGGGACAAGTAAGTGTAACAAGTAACAAGGATGCTTACACAGCTCTTATTTATTTGAACAAAGTTTGCACAAGAAATTTTCTCCCAGTAAATTGGACTCTTAGCCTAAAATAAAGACTATCCTTGCTCTGTTCAGTCAGATTTACCGAAACTGCACAGTTTTGATGCACGAACAATATGTAATTGATATTATTTGCCTAAATATTGAAATCAATATTAGAAGTTAGGCAAATCCATCCTCTTGTTGAAAGAATCAAGCTGATTAGTGGATGAAAATTTATATTCCATTTGTTTTGTAAGCTGAAAAGTCCTCTTCACGTAATTCTTTGTGTGTCAGATGCCAAACTTTACTCTCCTAGCAAGAAGTGTAATAAACAAGATGAACGATAAAGGTTTTTGTAATTGCTAATCATTTGAAGTAATAAAGGGCACATCTCATTTTTATATCAATATATAGTAATATACACCAAGAAAAGGATTATCTGTAAATTATTCAAATGCAAATTACATGAGGTGTTTTTTAAACAAAAAAAAAAAGGCTATGTCCAAAGTGTAGGAAAGACTGGCAGAAGAACTGTGGATGACACTTTGCACAATTTGTATCCTCCTTTGTGTAAAAGTTATTAGAAACAAGTTGAGGTTAGAAGTTGGCTGGTTTATCTGTGACTCTGAATACATAAATGGTACAAAGATTTCTTCTTAACACTCATTATGTGCTGCTGCTTTGAAGCAGTATTTTTAAAGCAATAAGGACGGTTTCAGAAACTTCAGAAATGCACATGTTTAGGAGTGAATTTAAATATTGTATTTGAGATATTGCTTTATATACATATAATCTTTTATATTTTCTATATATTTTCTATACATTTAAATGAACTTGATGCCATTTATATACATCATAATAAAAATAGAATAGAGAACTTCCTTTGCTTCTCGATTAAAGCTATGTGGAAAAAAAACCCCGTAGAAACATTGTCATATATTTTCTTTCTTTACATCAGAAATAAAATGATCTAAATTCAGATTTCTACCAAATGTTTATATATGGAGCAGAGAAGTAATTCTTCCAAAGGGCACAATCCACCTTATGGGGAGGAGGGTCTACCTGCAGCGAATGCCCAAACTGCAATTCCTCTAATTCCTTTCTACAGGATGGATCATTACAGAGAGCTCATAGGTTGCCCTCCCTTCTATTCCCCTCCCCTCTTTCTGCTGACTTCTTTGGAAGAGATATAGTGGAGTAGAGATGAATCTAGTCCCAAGAAAACTTTCTGCACCTTAAATTGGGCTGTGGGCATGTATGGATTCTTGCCTCTCAAATATACAGGGAAAGCTTGTCTTCTTTTAATGCTGAGAGGGATTATGTACACAGGCTTGGCTTGATGAATCATGACATGTATGCCTAATAAAAAATAATTTAATAAAAGTATCTTGGAGTCATATTTTATTTGGTTTGCAAATGATTCTATTGTGATGAAATAGTAAAGGGCTTTTCTCCTTCTGTATTGAAAAGTTATTTGAAGCTAGTTCTGGTGGTGGCTGGGATTAGTCTTATTTTGGGGTGAGGTTTGATACTACACTCTGAATATCTTAGTGGTACTGAGCCCACAGTATTACTACAGGACATCCAAAAGTATTTTATTTTAATATTGGGCAAAATGTAAATTGGCCAGTAATAATCCTTTATTTTTTTATTTTTTGGCCAAATTTGCTATTATTTTAATTATTCACCTGCACATTTTTATAAAGCATGCCCACTCCCAGTCAAAGGATGTCAGGAAATGACAGAAAAAGGGAGGTCCTTCTGATTTTCCCTGAGAAGCAGGGGTGGGATTCAAATTTCTTAACAACCGGTTATATGGGGGGTGGCCTAATTTGTGGATGTGGCTTGGTCATGTGATGGTGGGCATGGCTTGGTGGTCATGGCCAACTCAGTGTCACTCACATGGAGGGGCGCCTCGCCTGGCTTCGCCTCACCCCTCCCCTCCCAGCCAGTCCAGAATGTGCTTCTCTTTTACTGCTCTTTTCAAATCCCCTGATGCCTACACCTGCATTTAATTCAGGTAAACCAAAAAGACAATACCTCTTTCCTAAATTGTCAAAATTGAAAGTGCTCCAAAGGGAATTACTCAGGAGGGTGATATTAGCAATTCATAAACATAATCATCTTGCTCTCAGAAAAGAAGGGGACTTAACAAACTATTTAAGCAGAGCATGATTAACTGCATAGCAGCAAAGGCAAATGAGTAGCTCATCGAGACCAAAAGTGATATAAGCAAAAAATCAGTCTTATTAGGAAAGGCTGACTAATAAAAATGTACCTGGATCTTCTCTTCTTATAAAATCATCCTGGACAGCTGTGGAGCTTACTCCCCTCCCTCTGGGGAAGATTTACAAACAACTTCCAGCCAGATTCGCCCTGCAGTCTCGCCCATCCCCACTGGCAGCTCTTGCCTGGGCAGCGGTTCGGCTTTACCTTGCCCAACCTTCCTCCTCCCGCAGCTGGTGGCAGAGGGGAAGGCCAGCCCCCTCAGCTCCAGCAATGCCCTGTGTGCTGAGTCCTGATCTGGGGCTCTCCATACCTGGGGGACGGGTGGTGGCAGCGGCATGCTCTAGTTGTTTTCATCAGCAAGAAGAGGGGCTGTTGGGAAGGTCTTGCTGAGCATCCCAGAACTTCCCGGCAGTGGGGAGTTTTCTTGGCCAGATCCAGCCACAGCAGCATCAGGGGGAGAAGGAGACCGTTCCCTCCTCCCCAGCCAGCCCAGACACGGCCATGCGGTGGGGGGGGGCAGCTAGCTAGCTAGGTCACGGTGAAGCAAGCCAGGTAAGCCCAGGGAGGGGGGGCGGGGAGACAGCGCAGTGGCCTAGGCTGGGCCCGGGAATCAACTCAACCGGGGCTTGCTTGTAAGCTCACTTCACCCAGGGAGATCAGCTCTGCGGTGGAAGGCAGGCAGCAGTGGTGGGAAAAGACAGGTTAGCAATGGTGGGTGAGATGAGGAATGACTGGTCAGGGTGAGTGGGCAGGCAGGAAGGGGTGGGGCCAGCCAATGGCTTGATGTACCGGTTCTTTGAACTGCATAAACTCGTAACAGCTGGTTCTATAGAACCGGTCTGAACCGGTAGAATCCCACCCCTGCTGAGATTTTCTTTGGCATCAGTGGCATCTTAACTTACAATTCCTGATTGAGCCCTAGTGTTGTCTTTGTTGTGTCCGAGAAAGGGAATGTTAAAAACTAATGTTAAAAACTAGAAAATTAGCACCCACTCTTCTAGAAAAATGAAATATTCTAGGAAATATTAAAAAGGCAGAATATTATACCTCCCTGGATGACAAAAGGAGAAACATGCTCTTGGAAAGCAGCCCCCATTTTTGTTAATAGCCCCAGAAAGACAGCCACTTTATCTACAAGACAAAAGATGTTTAGCTCTAGGGGGATGGGATTAACTCTCACATAGATCCAAGCCATTAAGCCATAATAGAAATTGCCCAAAGCCCCTTCATTACATCACCCAGCAAGATTCAACCAAGCTTGGGAGTCAAGACAACCTACAAAATTACCCCTCCATGGCCCCATGGGAGCCTGACAAACAGTCAGGATAAATTTCTTGCCACAGGAACAGGAAGCAAGTTCAAAGTCCAACAGAGAGTATAAATCTTTTTCACCCATGTGCTCTTTTTGCCCAGGAACTCAGTGTGGTCCTGTCCACCATTAAACCATCTTTCCATGCAGTCTCCATGTTTCCAGTGTCTTTCTTCCCACTTGGAACTGAACCTGGATTGACATTTCTTCCAACAAAACAAAAAGCCAAAGAGGATACTTCATCCTTCCTCACCACTCTGGCCCTGGCAGTATTCTCACCATCACTCATTTCTACTGCCAGCTATTATTAAATAAGAAAGTATTTCATTTCTTCCTTAAAAAGCACAAAAATTATTTAAAACTATCAGTT